GAGCACATGGACGATATCCTCAGCGCTGTCGCGGTACTTGGCAAAGATCATGATCCGGGTGGCCTTGCTTGCGCTGGAGCCGTCCAGCTGCGCGTCCAAGAAATGATTGAGGACGACCTCCTTGAGATAGTCGAGCTTAGGACTTCCCGTGAAGCTAGGGTTCGCAACCATCTTCTCAAGTTCGTCCATCATGGTCTTGTAATGGGTCGTGTCGGAGATCATGCGCCGGTACTTTCCGCCTTTTCCGCCCTTGACTGACTCTTTGAAGGTCATCAAGGAGCGGTGAAAGGCGCGGATGCCATGGTATTTGAGCAGGTCAAGGGCGTGAGCCAGACTGGACAGAGTGGTGAAGGCTGCATTGACCATCGCCTTGATGCCCTGATTGGCGTGCCGACCGGCCGCAAACATCCATTTCTTGCGAGCCAGTGTCAAGCCAAACGGCGTGATTGTCAGTGGATCGCGGCTCCAATACGCATTCTGCGACGTCAGCTTATCCAAAACAGGCTTTAGTGCCCTGGAGAAAAGGTCCAACATGCGGTTCATCTCAGGGGTATTCTCAAAGGTGTGTTTCTCTGTGGTCTTCGTGTGCACATATTGCCGTATATCCAGCGACTGCTCTGAGCGGATCTCAATCCTGGAGATGCGCAGGTTGTCGATGACCTCCTGAACACCCTCAACCTCTTTGCCTGGCGTAGCCGTCAACGCCATCACTCGAAAACTGTGGTTGAACCTCTCAAGAAACTTGACAGCTTCCGCATAGGCATACCCGCCTGTGGCACGATGCGCCTCATCCACCACCAGCAGGACCAACCGTTTCGGATCTGCGATCCCTGTCGTTAGGTCCGCCATGAAGGTCTGCGGTGTCATGAAGAAGACGCGTTTCTTCTCCCATTCTGCCGCTCGCAGCGCCGGGCTCGTCTCACCCGTCAAGATTGTCGTCGTCGAACGAGGGATGCCAGCGATGTGAAAGCAAGCGTGTGCCTGCTGAGACACCAAGGGCTTCGTCGGGGCGAGGAACGCAATCTGCGCGTCTGTCGTCCATCGGAACCAATTGAGCATGACAGTGGCGGCGATGAAAGTCTTGCCCAGGCCTGTTGGCAGTGCGACTAGTAGATTGTGAAAGAGCGCCTTCTTGGTGATGTTGAATTGGTAGTCGCGCTTGGCGCCTAGGTTCGTCGGGTAGACCCATGTGCTCAGCGCCGCCCGGTTCAGCCTGTGATGAGTGGGCGGCTCGCCATTGCGCCGTGGAGAGAAGGATATCGACGGGGTGGTAGCAGACGGCATGGACTGTGAAGGCACGACATGGCCGAACAGAGTTGATTGCCGCAAGCTCCCCGAGGTCGGGGAGGCTGGGACAGCAGCTGTGGGCCTGACTGGCGTGGCTCGGAACGGCGACTCGAACACATCGTCTGGGATCTCATCCGTTTCGTAGCCGTAGTCGGCGGTCATGAGCCTGGCCACGCCGCCAGTCCTTGGCGTGTCGGGGCCGCGGGCTGCGGGCTGGCTCTGCTGATCCGACAACGACGCCCGAATGGCCGCCGCTAGATCAGGGTCGTCGTCGTCATCACCACTCGCAGAGGTGTTGCTGGCACGAGGTGGGATCCCTGAGGCCGGCTGCGACGGTGATGCTGCCGTCGGACTGAAACCCCACGCCGTCAGCTGCGACTGCTTTGACCAAGACGGTGCCTGCGATGCGGGTGATCGGCGTTGGCTCGCAGGCGTGCCGTGATCGCGACCGTTCTTCAGCCTGCCTTGAGGCGGACATGGCTTCCTGAACGGCGTCGCCTCGAGTCGACGTCGTTTGCCTGAGTGCTGCTCATCTGGTAGCTGCCGCGTCCGTGCTGAGGCGTGATTCGTCAACTTCACATGACGCCCCGCAGACGAGTCTTCTACCTCCTTGGTCAGCTCAAGCAGATCATCGTCAAGGTCGCCCAGGTCACTGCTCAGGTCCACCATCTTTGGCCAAGACCGAACCTGCGACAGCGGCGGGCACCTCCGCTCATGGTGTGTGTCTGATGAAGCTAGATGTCTGGTATCTTACGCGCGGGTTGGTGTCAGCGCGTCGCGATCGTGCGTGGGGACAGCGGTTGGGAGCTAGCGGTTGAGCGAATCCTCGGCCCTTGAAGAAGTAGCTTCCCACCGTCTCCAAGCTGTCAATGCAGAAGCGTCGCTCGCCCATGCACGGAACCCTGGAGATTGATCAATGGGAAGGCTGAAGAATGGCGCAGGCGGCAAAAAGTTGACCAATTAGCATGTGCTGGTTTCGATCCAGCGTCCTCCGGGTTATGAGCCCGGCGCGCTTCCGCTGCGCCAACATGCTGATATGGTATGTTATAAGTCGGGTCAGGCTATGGCGCCAATATTTGGCGCCATTGAGCGCAGAGATGCGTGCCTTACAAGTCAACGAGGAAGACATTGAGGATGTGGATGCCATTGTTTGGTATGCAATTGGTACAGATACACATCACTCCTCGAGCAACCGGAGGAGGACGGGGAATGCTAGAAATGCTATAGGAAATGCAGGTCATGCGAGTGGCGCAGCAACGGAGCAGTGGCGCCCGCGATCAGGAGCTCTGCTCAACCGAGCACGGGTACCGCAGCTGCTCCGTCGCTGCACTGACGGGTGTGCCATCCCGGCTGCGACTGGCGCAGCAGTCGTAGCTCAGGATTCCACGAGCTTCGCGATGGGGACGGGGGAATGGAGTGTCCCTGAGCCACCCGGTAAAGGAGTTGAGCCGCCCCAGTTACAGCTCCTCACGCTCGCGGCTCGGCTCGCTGCTGGCGGAGGAGCTCTGGTCGTCGCTCACTGCAGAAGCCCCGTGGATGGACTCCTCGAACACGGGCTCGGGCTCCTGCACTTCATACTTGGACTTGAAGTCCCGGATGTCGTGTGTGCTGCTGTTGGAGTATCGCCGAGGCTTGGTGAATGTGTAGCCGAGGTCGTCCTTCTCGTCACCAACTTGGCCCCTGGAGTTCACATTTGCCACGGTCAGCAGCAAGCACAACGGAAAACGCGAGGTTGGCGAGCAGGGACAACCCACCAGTTGCTGCGGCCGCCGCCGTTCTTCTTGGTCTTCTTCGGGTCTTGGTCGACATGGCCACTCTTTGCAAAGTACTTAGGTAGGTGCTCCGGCTCCTGCACATGGGAGCTATGGATGCGCTCGTTGTACTTGTGGGATCTTGTCACTGAAGGAGCAGTGGTGTGAGTGGGGGACCATGGGTGATCTGGGATGGGCTGACTGTCACGGTGATGCTTACTCTTGGATGCGTGTGAAGTGGATCGAGTCAACTGGTCTTTGTCTAGGTGTCCGGGTGTCTACCGATGTGGTGAGGAGCGAGGATCGCTTGATGAGTGGCTTATATAAATTGCTTGAGATAATATGGGAGAAGTCTGATGGCGATGGACATGGGTTGGCACGAGAGAGGGGCTGGTTTGACGAGGGGAAGCACACAGCTTATATACGTTCACCAGTGACAGCGTGGTGACTGCGCCCGCAGCATGCTGGACATCACGCGGGGCTCTGTGAAAGTGGGTGAGCTGAGCTGCCAACACCCCTCGTGGAAGCAGCATGACACCGCAACGCAGTGCAGCCGGGGGCGAGTGACCCGACTCGACCAGACCAGACCAGACCAGACCAGACCAAACTACGCCAGACGACCAGAACCCCTCCTCGCAGGCAGGCAGGCAGGGAGAGAGAGCGCGGGCGGGGAGGGGAGGGGAAGGCAAGGCAAGGCACGCGCGATGATACACGCATGCACACCACCCACCACGCCAGCGGCGGTTCTAGAATCGGTGGGATCGTGGACCCTTGAGCACTTGACCCGGGCGGGCGCAGGTCTGGGAGGCCTGGGGAAGGCAGCCGAGCGGTCACACCACCGGTACGGCGAGTCACGCCTGACGCGGCGGGCAGAGGTGACGCTCCTGCTGGCGCCGTGGGTTTCCCTGGATACGCCGGAACTGGCCAGTGGCACCATTCGCCTGCCCTGCAGCTTCAGCCCCTGGCCCCGTCGCGCGCACCTGAGTCGGCATGGCAGGGTTGGCTTGACGGCCGTGATGGCCAGAAGGAGCACGATGCACGGCACGTTTACTCGACCAGGCAGGCGGGTTCTTCAGCCCCCTCACAGCCCTCCTCCACCCGTCCTCTTCGGCGACGATCTGACAGGGTCGGGTCCGGCCATGGAGCTTCCGCGTGGTCCCTACGGGGCAACCATACATGCTACATGCGTGCCAATTGACGGGTGGAGTCAACCACGGTCCTCGGCAGCCTGATCCCAGGCCATGCGTCAGATCATGGCGGGGAAGCCTGCGCTCGGCAGCGGATTCACCACGTCATCGACGACGGTGCCGCTGCCGCTGCCGCTGCTGCCAGCGCTGGTGGTGGTGGGTGTGGTGGTGCTGCTGCTGCAGGTGGCGCTGTTCGCTGTGCTCGCGTGCGGTTCACTGGTTCTTCAGCCTGGCACCGAGTGTCATCTGAGCAGGCGGCTTGGCTCCGACAGAAGTGCGCTGGAGGTGTTGCGCCAGTCGACGGTGACTCACAGTGGTGAGGTAGGGTTCGTGCAGTCCATCGTACGAGCGGGTCTGGCTGCGGGGGACAGTCGAACTCAAAAGAGCTGATGGTATGGAGGAGGCGCAGTCGTCTGGACGCGCGTGTGGTAGCAGCGGCCAGCTCAGGAAGGCGTGTACTCAAGCGTCTGTCATGCCTCTCAGCACCCGTAGGCAGGCTTGTCGTTGGTCATGAAGCAGGCCGCTGAAGGCGATGCAGCCCCGCCGCCCGCTTGCTGTGACTCGACTCATGCTGACCCGCGCCGCCGTCTGGTTTAACCAGCATTGCATGCCATGCTCGATGCTTGGCGGATGCTGTTCAGCTCAGCACAGCACAGCACAGCACAGCACAGCACAGCACAACACAAGCATCGCCTCGTCTTTCGACTCCCCAGCGGGACGTGCAACCTCGCTGCCAGGTGGTGTCGGGGGGTGTGCGACAGACATGCAAAAAGATTGAGCAGGGTGGGATTCGAACCCACGCGTACAGAGTACAACCGCAACTTCAGATGTGAACCTGAAGCGATCGCCTTAGACCGCTCGGCCACCTGCCCCTTTGATATAAGGAATTCTGACGGCATGCAAATTGGCCCGAGAATCATTTTTGCGCCCACACGTGACCGCAACTCTCGCCAATGCTGTATTTTGAACCAGAGACTCCAGCACCTTCGCATTGTCGAGGGTGATTGCAGGCTACGAAGACGGATCGAATCACAACGTCCAATTGCGGCTCGAGACTGAGACGCCTCATTCGCAGGCGTCACCACCACCACCACCACCACCACCACCAC